GGGCCATGCCGCATTTTTAGTTGGCCACACCCACACCCAATCGGGGAGGGAGGAGGGGGGAGGGAGGAGGGAATAAGGAGGAGCGAGAAGTGACACATGAGCGAGGAGCGAAGACAAACAAGCGATGAGGGACTATCGAATACGCGATCGGCTTGAAGGGTGCTTGATCCCACCTTCAGGGATGAGGCAACCATCCTATAATGACTGGGGAATGAAGCGAGTTGTCCGCCGCCGTGCCGCCAGGGACTAATCCTGGCATCTAGCATTTTTTCAGACAGCAGGCCACGCCCTTCAAGTTACGGGCAGGGCCACAACTCAACGTGGGTCTGTCTTCTGGAGGGATTGGGCATCCAACGCCCCGATGTTGTGAAACGCCCCCGCATCGGGGACTGCAGTGGAGATGTGATCTGGTCCCACTCGAAGAAACACCGAAAATAGATCTCGCCAGCGTGCTCTCCTTTGGGTGGAGCGCTCCCGCTCCCCATGCGGCCACGAAGCATGTAAGGGGTCCGTCGAACATAGGGCGGGACCGCATACGAACGCAGCCACTGAGGCCTTTGGAGGAGTTCTCTGTGGGGCCACGAAGCCTGTGAGGGGTCTGCAGACATGGTGCGGGGCCGCATGCGAACGCAGCCACTGTGGCCTTCGGTGGGGCTCCCCATGGGGCCTCGAAACATGTGAGGTGTGTGTGTGTGTGTGTGTGTGTGCCAGAATTGGAGAGGGGCCGCATGCAAACGCAGCTACTGGGGCCTTAGATGTAGCCCCCTATGGGGCCACGACACGTGTCAGGGGTCGGCCGACATGGGGCGGAGCCGCATACAAACGCAGCCACTGGGGCTGTCGGTGGGGCTCCCAATGGGGCCACGAAAAGTGTGAGGGGTCCGTCGGGTTAGGGCGGGGCCGCCTGCGACGCAGCCGTTGGGACCTTCGGTGGAGCTCCCCATGGGGTCACGAAATGTGTGAGGGGTCTGCTGAAACGGGGGCGGGGCCGCATGCGAACACAGCCACTGGGACCTTCGGTGGAGCTCCCTTTGGGGCCACGAAGCGTGTGATGGGGTTGGCGCACATGGGGCGGGGCCGCATACGAACGCAGCCACTGGGGCCTTCCGTAGAGCTCCCTGTGGGTCCACGAGCCCTGTGAGGGGTCTGCCGACATGGGGCGGGGCCGCATGCGAACGCAGCCACTGTGGCCTTCGGTGGAGCTCCCTGTGGGGCCACGAAACATGTGAGGGGTGTGCCAGAAATGGGGCGGGGCCGCATGCGAACGCAGCCACCGGAGCCTTCGGTAGAGCTCCCCATGGGGCCACGAAGCGTGTGATGGTCTGCCAAAATTTGTGCGGGGCCGCATGCGAACGCAGCCACCGGGGCAGTAGGTGGGGTTCCCTATGGGGCCACGAACCGTTCGAGGGGTCTGCCAAAATTTGTGCGGGGCCGCATGCGAACGCAACCACTGGGGCCTTCAGTGGAGCTCCAGGTCCCCATGGGGCCACGAAACATGTGAGGGAATGACGGAGGATGCGAAAGTTGAAGGAGAAGGAGGAGGAGAAGGAAGAGGAGGATGAGCAGAAGGAGGAGGAGGAGGAGAAGGAGGAGGAGAAGGAGGAGGAGGAGCATGAGCATGAGCATGAGCATGAGCATGAGCATGAGCATGAGGATGATCATGATGCTGCTGATGAAGCTGATGATGATGCTGCTGATGATGATACTGATGATGATGAGGAGGAGGAGGAGGAGGAGGAGGAGGAGGAGGAGGAGGAGCAGCAGAAGGAGCGGGAGTGAGGAGGTGAGGACGCGAGGTGCTGCGTATTCAAAACGAGGGTCCAACACACAAGAGGGTCGGGGAAAAACGGGTCCCACCCGAGGCGGATTCAGGCCTCGGATGCGAGTTTGATGTCACGCTATTAAATTAGCCTCCTGCGAGAAGAGGGCCCTGATGCTGCTGACTCCCCTTTGTTCAAATTGGGGGCGGGCCGATGGTCAAGCCTCCCCATTACGATACGTCACCCTACCAGGCGGAAGCCCGCACCGGGTGTGGCGGAGGTGGACAAGCTTCGATTATGACTGTGCTGATCCATCGACGCGTGCCATGCATCAAGCCTCGCCGCTGCGCTCTGCCGCGTGCTCGGAGAGATGCCATTGCTGCCAGAGCTCAGGGAATCACAGATACCGTCGCTCTGGCGCCTCCGCGGTCTGCGCGGCATGCGCCCTTGAGCCTTGGCAGCTCCCCTGGGCCCCGTCAGTGGTCTGGAGCGCTATCGCAGCAGAACTCTGCGGGATGACTACGGTCAGGTCGGGCGTGTCCCCCTAAAGGCGGAGCTTGGGCGAAAAATCATCAATATCCCCCCAAATACCCCAAAACAGTCAAAAATTGTCAAAAAATCGTCCCCAGACAATTGCCTTACTATTCTTGAATATTCCCCCCCTGTAGTGGGACGGGCCCGACGACTCGGGCCGCTGGCGCGCCACTGGCCGTGCCTGTGCTGCTCCGGCGACCGGCCGTCCTCTGGGGGCCGCCGCGCCCCCGCGCCTCCGCGGGCTCCGCTGCCGCTGCAAGCGCGGGGGCCGCGGCCTCCCTTGGAGTCCCGAAGCGGTGCGGTGACGGACCGTGCGGGGACCTCGAAATGCCCCAGGACCTCACCGCACGGTCCGTCACTGCACGGTCTCGGGACCCCGGAGGCCCACGTCGCCCGAGACATCCTCGGAGAACGACCCGAGTCCCAAAACCGTGCGGTGACCCCGAATCCCCACCGACTCACCGCACGGTGTGGTCACTGCCCCGTTTGGGGGCCCCCGACCTTCACTCCCTCCAGCAGCAAGGAGAAGACCAACACACCGTCAACCGGTACAGTAAGGATGCGCGAGAAGGATGCAAGGGCCTTGGGAGCCCATCTCGAAGCTTCTCGAGCGGGGCGCGGCCACCGAGAGTGGCCAAGGCTGGGCCGAGGAGGCGAGGATGCAAAGGGCACCCCTGGGAAGACCGCCCATCCCCACTGTGCGGGCTGACTCTGAACATAAACTTTCGGAGCTCCGCGCGGAGTTCGTGGATCGGAGCCGGGAGCCCCTCTCCGGCGTGCAGTGCGGAGCGCGCCGCCGGGGGGGGGGGGTCCCAGCGCCGACTCAAGAAATCCGCGCAGAGCTCCAAAAGCGCATGTTTTGGCATTTGTTTGAAAATTATGGTTTCTTGTTTTTTGTTCTTCGTTTTTTTTGTTTGTTCTTATCCCTGTTTAGGCCTGTTTTTCTCTCTTCTTCTCCTTCTTCGGTCCAGGGTGGGCTGCTGGAGGCCTTGGGCAGCTCGGTGTCTCTGCTAGCCCTCGTCGCGCCCCCCAGCGGAAATCCACCTTTTGGAGGGGTCGTCCTGAGAGTCGATTCGCGGGTGGCGAAGGCGGCATCGATCTGCCGGCCGCTGAGGTTGATGCCGAGGGTCCTGCCAGCGAAACATGCCCGGGGTCTGGCGCCAGGGGCCGCAGGGAGCGACGGCGGGCTCAGGAGCGTCGCGGCCCCCACGTTGTGAATGGAGCTTCTGGGCATCATCTCCTGGGTATTGAGGTCCAGGTTTAGGTCGGACCTGTCCCCCTACAGGGGGATTTTGGATGAAAAGTAAGAGATAATCAAAAAATACCAACAAATGGCCAACACATGCTAAAAACATCGTCCCCATACTATTTTTCGACTATTGTTGAATATCCCCCCTGTACCGGTACACGCCCGACTTCAGTCCGAGATACTCGAGGGTCTCCGCGGCTGTTGGTTCCTTGCCGCTGGCGGCCTGGGGGTGCTCCGCCTGACTGTCCATCCGCATGACCTGCTCGCGGAGGCCAGGAGCCTCGGGAATCATGGTTTGGGTGGCTGCTGCCACGGCAGACTTCGAGTCGCGCCTCGAGATCAGTGATGCTGTTTCGAAGACATGGCCAGCCTTGTCCAGCTTGTCGCTCGTGGTGCGGTGCCTCTTGACGCAGGCCGGGGCGCCAACTTTCTCGCCCCAGAGGCGCTTGAGCTTGCCCTGACCAGCACGTCGGTCCTGAGATGCCTCGTCGCCGCCCCTGATGGGCTGCTGTTCTCGGCTACGCGCAAGAGTGACCCTGGGTAAGAGTGACCTTTGGTACGCAGGTCTTCGGGGGCCGCGGGGTGCCCAAACACGGGCGCGCAAGACGCTCCCATCGCATCGCGCTCGGCGATCGGGGGACCCTACTGGGCCCGCACCAAAGGTCACTCCGGCGAAAGGCCACCCTTACGTCTAGTCGATGTTCCTAGATAGTCCACCCGTGCCCGCGCCATCGCGACCTTGCGAGAGGGGGCCAGCGCGAACGAAGCGCGAGCGCCCGTGATCGCGCCTGCCTGGGCCTGTGGGCGGACGCCCGAGCCTTCGGTGCCCCGTCGCTCGCAGCCTGCCGCTTCGGGGCGCGCACCGGGCGCCTGTGGTGGGGCCCCCGGTGGGGGCTGCCTCCACCGCGGCTGTGTGCCGGGCGGCTGTCGCCCGGGCGGCGGGCGAGCCAGTGTCTTGCCCCTCATGGGAGGGGGAGGACGAGGAGGGAGGGGGGGGAGGAGGCGAGGATGGACGACGGGGAGGGAGAGAGGGAGGGAGGGAGGGAGGGGCGAGGAGGGAGGGAGTGAGGAGGAGGGACGAGAAAGGACGAAGGGGAGGGTGGGAGGTCGGGAGGGAGGGCGGGATGGAGGGAGGGGCGGGGCGGGAGGGAGATACGAGACATGAGAGGAGGGGAGGGAGGGCCAGGGAGGGAGGAGAATACAGGAGGGGGTCAGGAGGACGCAGTCTGGGTGGAGAGCTGATGATGTAGTATCGCTCCTGGTGTAGAAGACGTCCTTCTTCCTCTCACTTTACGAGGGCAGGCGTCGGTCCTGATTGCTCATTACGGATGTATACCTCGCCCAGCATCCTCATTTAAGGATCAACTGACCCTGCCCGAACAATTCGAAGCGAGCATCCAATGACAAAGGCCAATGCTTGGACCGATATCGAATCGCACAGCAACGAGCGGGGGCGCCTTCTTCGCGAACTGCTCTGCGGAGATCTTGCCCTTCCGCGCGCGCTTCGCGAGGCACTCCTGGGCGCAACAGGCCCCGCGAACAATGAGCAGGCCGTGGAATCCCCTGGCCCTCGGCACGGCAGACCTACAAAACCTGGGGGCCCAAACCGCGGACTGCGAAACCGGTGGGTGCAGGCAAGACCAGCAGCAAGACGCAAGGCACGGATGCAAGACCCTGGGGCGCCCACGTGGGGACAACCGCGGCGGCATGAGGCCGACAACTCTGGCACGTCTGGCCCAAGGGTTGGGCCGGAAGAGGCGAAGATGCAACGGTGACCATCGTAAAGCACTGCGTCCGTGGTGCCCAGGTCACCCAACTCCGCGCAGCGCGCCTCGCGACGCGTGCTTATCTTCGCGCCCATGCGCCCAGGCGTCGCCTCCCTTTGAGAAGGGCAGCTCTCCAGTCCAGACCGCGCTGCTCCAAGCGCGAATATCCTCGCGCCCCTGCGGGGCACCCAGAATACTGGCTGTGCGTGAGCCCAGCGGCCCAGCATCAACCCTCGGCATGGCCTGCTGCCGAGACCTCCGATGTCATGCTGCGTGTTTCTCGATGCTGTCCCCCTCCACGACTCCCGGAAGCCAAACACGGAGAACACACTGTTGGCGTCACGGCCACGCGCGCGGCGACGCGGGGGCCCGGGAGGGTGGTGCGGCGGCCGCGGCGGGGCACTCAGACGGCCCCGAGAGAGCGCGCGAGAAACATCATGATCCTACGGCAGGTTCGTGCCCTGCCGACTTCGGCGTTGGTTTCTGACGCTGCGGGCGGGGACCGTTCAGCCTCGAACGATCGGCCGTTTCCGAAACGTCAGCTCGTTCCACATCGACCGGTTCTGGGTCGCCAGCGGTGCTCAACCTCTCATGCCCGCGCTGGGGTCGCCGCCGCGCCGACACGACACGGACCTGCCGTGCGGTTCAACGAAGTGTCCAAGAATGTCCCCACTTCAAACCTCCGCCTCAACCGCCTCCGCCTCCTCCGCTGCCTCCGCCTCCGCCGCCTCCGCCGCATCCGCTCCGCCGCCTCCGCCTCCGCCTTCGCCGTCTTCGCCGTCTTCGCCGTCTTCGCCGTCTTCGCCGTCTTCGCCGTCTTCGCCTCCGCCTGCTCCTCCTCCTCCTCCTCCTCCTCCTCCTCCTCCTCCCGCCCCCAACGCCTTACTGCTGCACATGCTCACGCCTCTGGTCGTGAATTGGAGCCGCTCTGCCTGCGTGCAGTGCTAGAGATGCGCTGGCAGTCTGGGTCTGTAACACTGGCGAGATCCTGGGCGGTAGCCCACGTTTGAAGAGACCGGTCTTCCATCCCTCAAATGCGTCATTCAGGGCACGAGAGTGCGTGGCGCTAAACCGAGAGCACGGTTCGGAGAGCAACCTGTGCTCAATGCTCGCAGCTGTTGCAAGATTTTGGAACGAATGTGCGCAGCGCTAATGCGAGATCACCACTTTGAACATGAAATGCCCAACATCCTTCAAGATGTTGCGACATGTAACTAAGAACATGTGCGCGGCGCTATGCCGAGGGCACAATCATGTATGATAACGACCTTATTTCCGTGCCAAAGCCTACTTCAGCCCTTCAAGACGAATGTGCGCGGCACAAAGGCGACAGCCACATTTTGAAAACGACCTGTGCTCCGCCATTGTGACTTTTTACAAACCTTTCGCACGAATGTGCGCGGCGCGAAAGCGATGACAACATTTTGAACATGAGCCACCTTCCATCCTTGAAGCTGTTGCACCGTTTTTAAAACGGATGTTCGCTGCGCCAAGGCGAGCACAACATGTTGAAAGCCACCGGTTCTCCGTCCTTGTAGTTGGTGACCGTTTTCTTATTCGGCGTTTCGACATTGGGCGGAGGGGGGGGCTGGCTCCGGACCTTTGCTTAACGCGACTGTTTGCAACAGCGCGTCCTATGGGGGAGAGACTCCACCTGCTTGAAACAAGCGCCAAAAACAGCCGAGACCTACTCCATGGGGGGGGGTGGGGTGCGAGGGCCCACGCCGATCGGCAAAACAATGAATACGAAAACGACGCATTGTTGCAGACTTCAGGCTTCCAGATACGAAGGGAGAGGGCGTCTCAAGCCAAACACATGGGCCGCCCTACCAACATGTCTGGGGGTGCGACAGGGAGAAGTTCTATATAAGGCAAACGGATTGAGGAGGAGGAGGAGGTGGAGGAGGCCGTTCATCGCGCTGTTAGGTCGTTCCTTCTTCTCCCTCGTGCCTCTTGGCGTTATCTTTTTTCTGTCCTCCCCCCGGCGACCGCCGGGTGGGAGGGCTTCGAGGGCTTCTCTTCACAAGGAGGAACCAGTCCGCAGCGTCGAGCTTCGGGGAGGCCCCTCCTGCCCCCCACCCCCCCCGCACAATGGGCTCCTCTGCGCCGAGCGCCTCCCACTCCAGCACCTTCTCGCTGCGCTTGCAGCGCCGCTTCTGCGTGCGGGTGCGCTCCTTCTCGGCCTTGGCCTTCTCCCTGGGATGAGGGAGGGCAAGGAGGCGGAGGGAGGAAGGGAGGGGAGGAGGAGGAGGATGAGGATAGAGGAGGGGGGTGAGGAGGCGTGCTACGGGACCTATCAGGGGACGCGCCAGGGACGTGTTGTGGGATGTGCCAGGGGACGTGCTAGGGAAAGCGCCATGGGGCGTGTGCCAGGGGGCAAGGCAGGGAACGTGCCGGGGAATACGATCGTGGACGCGCGGCGGGACGTGTCAGGAGGCACGCCAAACGACGTGCCAAAGGACGTGCAAAGGGACGCGTTGGGGGATGTGCCCCGGAAACTTGCCAGGGTAACTCTGCAAGGGGTGTGATCCACGAAAAGGGTACGCCGAAATAAGCGCGGGGCAAATTTCGGCATCTCCCCGACGTGGACAATTTCGCCAACCCTCCTCGACACTGTGGACGACGATTCCAACTCCGCCGGCCTTCCTCAAGCATGGCACCGGGGACTAGGTACATACTGTCATGAACCCTGGGCCGACGCTCTTTCCGAGAAAGTGCCACAGCAACGAAACAAGGAAACAAACCAGGACGATAAAGACGGAAACAGCTTGCAGCAGGCTGGCGACGCGATGAGCCAATGATGACTGAGCTGCATGAAGCGGTGGCCAGCTTGGGAAAAGACGCAGTAAGACAACGATTGCAGGACACCGCGGGGCAGGTGGCCTTTGCACGCGCAACTGTCCGCGCGGCAAGATCACGGACACCCTGATGTGCAGAACACACGTGCGGTGGGTAATTATCGCCCTCACCTCGCCTGGGGTATCGCACGCCAACGGAGCCGCGCCTTGTCGTCGATGCCCACGCGCCGCCCCGTGCAAATCCCCACGCGCGGCGAACGCCATGTTCACTCTGTGTGGAGCCTCGCGCGCTGGGGCGGCGGCCGTCCGGCGTGCTCCGTCCGTGCAGGCGGGTCTCGCCTGCCATGCTCCCGTCGTGACGGAGGTCACGCAGAAGCGAGGCTGGGCGCGTCGCAGGTTTTTCGTCTTCGCCTAATTTTTTCGTCTTCGGCTCGCCCTACGCAGACAAAACTTTTGTTTTCGCCGCGTTCTAGGGCAGACGTGGGGTGCACGTGGCCCGAAGCTCCCGAGAGCCGTCCGAAGAGACCCCAAGACGCATCCCCGAGGACTCCGGCTCGCGTCAGCGTCGTCGTCTTCCGTGACGTCATCCTCAGCTTTCAAGCGCCCCTCCAGCCGCATGCATACGTCATGGGGCAGGGCGACGGGGACGTCACGGAAGGGGATGGCTTGCTAGGGGTCGGTTAGGCCGCCCCTGACCTCCTCCTCCTCCTCCTCCTCCTCCTCCTCCTCCTCCTCCTCCTCAGGAGACCACGGGTTCTCCCCTCGAACTGTGAGTCGCGGGGCTCGAGAAGAGCCTCCTGCAGCGGCCCCCCCCCCCCCCCCCCGCGTTTTTTCCCCCAGGCCCTGGGGAGCCACCCCAAACAAGTTTATGCGAGGGCATTTGACACGATTCCGGCTTGCTGTACAGGAGACGCCGTTCACTCGCCTCCAACGCGCTTAACCTTAATCTCCTTCTCCTCGTCCTCCCTCCTCCTCGTCCCCTCCCTCCTCTCCTCCTCCTCCTCTCCTCCTCCTTCTCTCCTCCTCCTCCTCCCTCCCTCTCTCCTCCTCTCCTCCTCCTCCTCCTCCTCCTCCTCCTCCTATCCCTCTTCTTCTTCCTCCTCCTCCTCCTCCTCCTCCTCCTATCCCTCTTCCGAGTAGTGCCGGTCGGAGCTCGGCGGCGCATGGCCAGTGGAGACCGAGGCGCCGAGCATCCGTCCTGCTTCGAGCGAGACAGGGAGAGGCCTGGCTCAGGGGCGAAGACATCGGTCTGGCTGAGTTTGGGGAACGATGGGAGAAACACGTCTCGAGGTTTGAAATTTTAGGCTTTCGGACGTTATCGTTGGTTCCCGGCGGCGTTCTGGCCCCGGCATGCCTCGCCGAGGGACGTTCCGCGGGGGCCCTCGAGTCCCGAACGGCCGTCGGAGGCCCGAGTTAGGACCCGAAGACCACCAGGGGACTGGCTCAGAGGGGGGAAGACATCGACCTGGAACCGACGCTGCATCGCCGATAGGCGCCCAAAAGCGCAGCCGCACGTTCCGCTGCGGGGTGGGCTGTCGGGCCCCCAGCGGCGATCCATGGGCGATCGGGTGTCGATGCGTTTCCCTTCTGAGCCTATCCCCACCCCCAAATGGGGCCTGATCGAGGGAAGAGGGGGAGGAGGAGGAGGAGGAGGAGGAGGAGGAGGAGGAGGAGGAGGAGGAGGAGGAGGGAGGAGGAGGAGGAGGAGGAGGAGGAGGAGGAGGGGGAGGAGGAGGGGAGGAGGAGGAGGGAGGAGGAGGAGGAGGGGGAGGAGGAGGAATGGGAGGAGGAGGAGGAATGGGAGGAGGAGGAGGAGGAGGAGGAGGAGGAGGAGGAGGAGGAGGAGGAGGAGGGGGGGGAGGAGGAGGAGGAGGAGGAGGAGGAGGAGGAATGGGAGGAGGAGGAAGAAGAAGAGAAGGACGGGGAGGGAGAGCCAGTCCTGGCAGCTATCCTCTCGGCCTTTCTTCTGGCCTTCGCCTCGGCCTCGGCTTTGGCGGCCTCGCTCTCGTACGCCGCGTCGGCCGCGGCCCTTTCCTCCCGCGCCTCTGGGGCACAGTCTGCCGTGGGCACTGCGGGAGGCCGAGGCGCGAAAAGCAAAGCAGGGGCCTCCTACTTAGTAGGGCCTACTACCAAGTAGGGCCCCTGCTTGGTAGGGAAATACTAAGTGGGGCCCTACTAAGGAGGGCCTGAGGCGAGGGCCCTACTTAGTAAGGCTCTCGCTGCTGCTTCTGAGCCGGATCAGGCCCCAAAGCCAGATCAAACCACGCCAAACTCCAGGACAACCCAAAATCGGATCGAAAAATCGGACTGGCGAACGAAATGAGCCGGACCGACGGAGATCAGCAACCGATTGGTCGGAATCGATCGAATCGGAATCTGAATCGATCGAAATCGAATCCAATCGAGTCGGAGGAGTCGAAACGAGCCCTGAACACCCGCCCTTACCCCATCCGCTTCATGCTGCGGCCGCTCTGGTACGAACTGGCAACGGAGGTGCCCCAAAGCTGGTGTGGGCTTTTGCCCTTTGGGAAGCAGGGGGGGGAGAAGACAGGAGGAGGGTAGCTGGTGGGACAGAGATGCGGAAACGCCACCACGCTTACATGACGGCATCGCGAAGATGATGCGACAACAAGGCGGCGACGATACAACACAAACGGGGATGTTGACAAATGCGTGCCGTCAGCGAGAGAGTGAGAGGAGAGAGCGAGTGAGAGAGGAGTGATAGAGATAGAGAGGGAGAGAATGAGAGGGAGAGAGGGGGACATAGAGACACGGAGACAGAGAGGGAGAGAGAGAGGGACGCACATACATATCTGTATGTGTATATACAGGTATGTATGTATACATATAGATATAGATCCACGCATCTACAGACAGAGAGAGGGAAAGCGTCATAGGGGAGGGAAATTGAGAAACAGAGACAGAGCGAGAGAGAGAGAGAGAGAGAGCAATCTATGTACAGAGAGACAACAAGGGAGAGAGGAAATGACGAATCACACACATGGATATACGTATACACATACGTACATGCATACGCACATACGCACACGAATCCACATACATGTGTACACGCATACATACAAACATGCCTACATACAAACATACATACATAACAGCACAAGCATACACACATGCATACAGCACAGGCATACATACATGCATGCATGCCTACCTACATGCACATATATTTACATATTTACACACATGTATACACATACGAGAAACACGCGCGCGCTTAGGTTCTAGCCCAGCCCCTGGCGCTGTGATGACACGACGGTCGGGGTTTGTGGGCGACTCGCTGTCGGAGAAGAGTTGCGACCGTCTTGAGCCGTTTATGGGATATCGCAGGGCTTCATTGGACTGGCTTTGGGGATGTTTGGGCGCTGTCTTGGGGGGTGCAGGTGTCTTTGGCCCCAATGGCGCCGTCCAGGGTTGCCAGATCGTTGTCACGACACGCAAGTCTTGGCTTGCGGGTTCGTCGGGGAGATCGCTGAATCGCCTTGGGGCATTGACTGGCTTTCTGATGACATGTCGAGGCCGCAATTTGCTGGTCTTTGGATGTCGCCGCATTTTCTTGGCCTGTCTGGCCGAGTATATGCAGGAGGGGTGAGGCATGACGAAGGACGGGGCAAACATTGCCTTGAAACAGAATGCACGCGCTGCCAAGCCAGCTGGCCGAGCACGTGCAGAGGGAGCGAAGAATGCCAGAGGACGCAGGGGAAACTGCCTTGATACGTAATGCCCGCGCTGTCACGCTGGGTGGCGGAGCACTTGCAGGAATATCGAAGAAAGACGGAGGAAGGAGGGAACGCAACCTTGACATTGAATGCATGCGCTGTCACGCCAGCTGGCGGAGCACGTGCGGAACCCCCTCCTACAGCCAAGACGCTGAAATTCGCCGGCCCAACGGGCCAAGGCGTGCAAAGATCTCCGGTAACTGGTTAACAGTATTAACAGTATTTCTAGTTCGCGCGCGCGGGGCGGCCCCTGGGGGTCCCCCGGCGAAAAGTACCCCGACCAACGCCCGGTCGCCGCCCGACCGCCGCCCGACCAAGTCTACTCAGAGATGGTTTTCCTTCTGGGTGCGGCCTCTCAGGCTCCCCAGAGCGCGCTCAGAGTGCCCCAAGAGGCCCCCAAGACTGCCCAAGAGGCCCCCGAGACGCCCAAAGAGCGCTCGAAGACGCCGAAGATGACCCCAAGACGGCCCAAAAGGCCCCCAAGACAGCCCAAGAGGCCTCCAAGACGCCCCAAGAGCCTTCCAAGAGGCCTCCGAAGAGAGCCCCAAGAGGCCAAAATCGTTGATTTTCATTGGTTTTTTCGATGTTTTTTGTGTTCTGGCTTTTTCGGCTTCCGGACGCTCCAAGACGGCCCAAGAGGCCCCCAAGACCGCTCCAAGACGGCCCACGAAGCTCCCAAGACGGCGCCGAAACGACCCAAGAGAACCCTCAAGACGGCCCAAGTGCCGCCCAAGACGGACCAAGAGGCCCCAAGACGGGCCCAAGAGGGACTCAGGAGGGATACCGAGAACTCAAAAATGGAGCCCTCCGTCCCAGAAGGCGCCCTGGAGGTCCCAAAGAGGCCCCAAGAGGCCCCCAAGAGCCCCCCAAGAGGCCCAAGGGGGCCCCAAGACGCCGCCAAGGAGCCCCAAGAGACCCCCAAGAGGCCCCCAAGAGGCCCCTAGGAGGCCCCAAAGAGGCACCCAAGAGGCTTCAAAGAGGCCCCATAGAGCACTCGAGGGCCGGCGGAATGAGCGAAGCGATTAAATAAGGACCGCTTTAGGTTCGGAAGGCGCTCGGGCATTTGGGTTGTTTCTTAGATTTATGTCGCGGGATTTGCTTGTGGCCTAGGCCCACCGTGGCCAGAAAAGCCCCTTTGTTCCTTATTTGGCGTTCCTTCTGGTAGTACCTCGACTGTAATCGCACCGGCAGGGCCTCAAGTTCGATGACTTTGCCTTCATTGCTGAAGAGCTTTCGAGCCACCTCCAGCCGTCCTTCGGCATTCTTTTGAGCCTCTTGGACGGACGCATGCTGGAGATGCGGTTTTGGGCGTCTTTGGGGGCCGTTGTGGAACCCTCTTGGGGGCTTGCATGGTCATCTTGGGAGTCTCGTGGGGCCGTTTTGGGGCCCGTTTGGGGGCCTCTTGAACTATTGTCGGGCGCTCTTGGGGCCGTGCCGAGGCCGTCTTGGGCCCGTCTTGTACCGTGTTGGAGCCGTCTTGGGCGGTCGGACCTCAAGAACATCACTGTGTTTGGCCTCATCAAGGCCTCTTTGGGGTGCGCCGGGGGCTCTCCTGGGGTGTCCTGGGGACCTCTTGAGCCGTGCTGAGGCCATCATGAATGCTCTTGGTGCCCTGTTGAGCCGTCTTCGGCTCATTTTGGATCCTCTTAGGCGGTCTTACGGGTATCGGGCCGTCTGAAAGCCTCTTCGAGGCCCTGGGGAGTGGGTATCAAAATAAGATCGACCCACGAACCCAGAAAGGGAATTAGAACTGCGAGGCATGGGAACGTTTCCGAGCACCTCAATTGGGCGACGGGCAGTGGCAGCTCTGAAGGTATCAATGATGATATTCTGCCAAGGAGTGTGCCGTGGTTCTCTGCGCCGTGCCGCGCCTCATAGTGACGTGCCGAGGACGCGCCACAGAGCGTGCCATTGGAAGTGCCAGGGGACGCGCCGAAGGACATGCCGCGTTGAACTGTGCCGAACGCTATTGCACTGTGGGTCAAGCCGTCCTTGGCGTCAGAATCCTGACCGAGGATGAGGAGGAGGAGGAGGAGGAGAAGGAGGAGGAGACACTTATTTGGATCTCAAGCTCGAGCTGTCTGATCGCATGACTCGGGCTAGTTGCCATCGAAACGCGCGGGACGCTCGACCGGCTCGAGCTCGAGATCCGATGCAATTCCGCAGCCCTCGCTTGAGACGCCGGGGCATAGCTCCAGACGACCGCACGTTTGACGCCTCCCTGTGTAGCCTGGGCGCGTGAGGACGTGCCTACAGCTCGGGACAACCGTGCTGGATGCTTCCCTGGGCGGCTTGGACACGTGAAGAGATGTGGTTCAAGCTCGGAGCCACCATGTCAGATACCCCACTGGGTAGCCTGCAGACGTGGAAACACGTAGTTCCAGCTCGGGACCACCATGTTAGATACCCCCCTGGGTGGCCTGGACGCGTGGAAACACATGGCTTCAGCTCTGTACCACCATGTTAGAACCTCAGGGGAAAATCTGGAAAATCACCAGCCGAAGAAAGTGTGTCAGATTCTTGCACTTTGGGTGCCGATTTGTTGATTTTGTCTGGCTCCTGTGGGCCCCCACGCTGGGGGCACCCGAACGACCACATGTTAGGCACCTCCGTGGGTGGCCCGCATACGTAACAACACATGGTTCCAGCTCGGGGCAACCATGTTGGATGCCCCTTCTGGGTGGCCTGGGCACGTGACAACACGTGGTCTCAGCTCGGGGCCACCATGCCAGATACCCTTCTGGGTGGCCTGGGCACGTGAAAACACGTGGTTCCAGTTCGGTGCCACCATGGTGGATACCTCCCTGGGCGGCCTGGGCACAATGAAATACTTGGTTCCAGCTCGGGGCCACTATGTTCGATACCTCTCTGGGCGGCCTGGACGCATGAAAACACGTGGGCCGAGCGAGGGGTAAGGTGCAATCATCTTAGATCTACCCCCTCTTGGGCGGCTTGGGCGCGTAACAACACGGGGTTCCTACTCGGGGCCACCATGCTTGATACCCCCACAGGTGGCCTGGACATGTAAAAACACGTGGTTCCAGCTCGAGGCCACCATATTAGATACCTCACTGGGTAGCCTGGACACGTGGAAATACGTGGTTCCAGCTCGGAACCACTGTGTTAGATACCGCACTGGGTAGCCTGCACACGTACAAACATGTGGTTCCAGCCCGGGGCCACCATGACAGATACCCCCCTGGGTGGCCTGGACGCGAGAAAACTAATCTCATCTGGGGACAAGCATGTTAGATACCTCCCTGGGCGACCTGGGCACGTGAAAACAACCAGTTCGCCTGGGACATT